ACATTCATCCAGTGGCCAGAAACATAACTGTAATTACTAACTTTGCTGTGTTATGTGTAAGCAAATGTTTGCTAACAGGTTTAATAATGCATGTAAAAGAAAATCATCTTGATTAAACAGTGTTCTAGACATTAACACTAGTATTTTAGTGTATGTATGTTAAATAAGTCAAATTCCCTGTAATTCAAAGAGCCTTTGCTTGTACTCTACAAGCAGCCAGTTAGTAGAAATGAATTGCACTCATGCATCTCAGCAAAATAGTCCCAGTAGACAGTTATAATAAAAACCAGCAGACCATTTCATTCCAGTGATCATAATTACCAACCAGCCATAATTTAAATCAAGCATAAAGATAGTGCATGCATTTGAATCCTCTGAGAAAATCTGAAGAGACATGATGACCTTTGATGAGACACATTCAGATGTAAAATATTGATGTGCTTTGTTTCTTAAGGGTTTTGAATGAGATGAAGACTGTCCAGAGCATCCTGCCACCAAACAGCACAGTCCAGGCCTACATTTCTCTGCTCATTAACATCACACACTTTATCTTGGAGACTGGCCAAGGTAAGTCAGCTTCTCAGTGTCACAGTAGGTGGACAGCATTTTGAATCCTGATGAACTCTGATGGAGTGGAAGTTGCAATGTGCCCTTCATTATTCAAGTGTTGATGCCAGACAGCCTAAGATGTATGGATCAAAGTAGCACAGTGCTCCAAGGTTCACATGGAGGATTATGTTTGTATGTTTGACACTGAAGGCAAAGCCCACTTTGTCAGTAATATTTTTTTGTAATTTCAGGCAACAGGAGTCTGTGGGAAGGTTTTGAGGGTGTATCAGTACAAAATGCAACCATAATTACTGAGCAGGTAAAGCTTCAAACATTGTCAAATGTATTTAAAAAGTTGTTTATTTTTGTTTGTTTTATCCTCTTTTCAATAGGTTTTGAGTAAATTCATACATACATTCATGAAACGTTTGTAAGTTTGGAATGCCAGACATTACTTTAAATTGAAGATAGAATGCTGATAAAACATCTCATTGTCATCTGTGTTGCTACTGGAACAGCTGGCCAATGCCCAGTCACAAACCACCAACATCAGAAATGTGGCTATGAGGGTATTGAAATGTGATATCATTTATCATCTCAGACAGACAAAACAAAAACACGATTATAGCATTTTTCAAATAATGTGTGTCCTGTATTCATTGTTCTTAGCATATTTCATGTCTCAAAAGGTAAAGGAAACACAGCCCTTGTAGCTGAGGCTTTGCATTAAATCACATGAAAATGTGAAAATTTGAATTGTTCTTTCAGATGGGTAAACTCTTGAGCATTCTTTGGCCACTTGGCATGGGAGGTCCAAACTCAAATTCAACTGCTCAATCACTGGAGGGCTTTTCTTCTTTTGTTCCAATCCTGGAGCAGATAATTACTTGTCAGGCAGACAACGACACATGGGACAAGTAAGTTTAATAACCACTTGCAGTGGAGCCAAAACAAACAAGAAATTACTTACTGCTGGTTAGATAGCTTGCTAGTGTTAAATTGCACACTGTATGTTGCCTTTGTGATTGCCCTAAACCAAATACCCTGTGTACTGTCACAGACTTGAAAAGGTGCTAGAAGCCCTACTGTCAACCCTTGAAGAGACAGAGCTACTGGACAATGCCTCATCTGGTATGCCACTGTTTGAAAAATCCATTGGACGTTTGGTGAACATCATCCAAGCACAGAATGGTGAGAGCAATACTAAACAGCAAGAACAAGGGTGGACTGTTGAGCCATTGACCTTGACATCACCCTTTTATAATAAGAAGGATCCAGTCTCCTACTGTACTGTATGTGCATATGCGCATGTCATATAAGAAACACTCATAGTACTGGTGGATATTTTACCTTTCATTCCTTGACACACCTTGAAATGCCTCAGATGTGTTTCTCTTTTATACTTGATTTATTACTCTAATGAATAGTTGCTTTTATTCAGACTTATCCAGTACAAGTACTTTTAGTGAAACAATTCATATCGGTCAACTCATCTGTCTTTTCTTTCTCTCAGTGATGATGGCAAGCCTCCAGAAGCCCTTGGTGATCCTGATGAGAGAAATTGTACAGTCTGTAAACACCAGTCATTACAACTTCTCTCAGGTCCTGCCAGGAATGCAGCATGCCATTGATTCCACAATACAGGCAGCTCAGGTTAGACTGCCATTGTTCTCATGCTAATAACATTTGTGCTATTGCATTAGTGCTGTTTTTCATTTGCTGGCTCTCTTTGGTGGACATGTTTGCATATATACCTGTGTGAGAGAGGTGGGGACAAGAGCTACTGTATCTGTTAATAATACCTGTCTCCCATCTTGCTGCCACACCTAAGTTACCATGCACCTGATGTAAGAGCAGGATGAATGTGCTGTTCTTATCATCTGTCTGTTCTGTCTACTTACATATGCGCTTACATTATTTATCCCTCAAAAGACTTCTGAAAGACATCTTCATACCAGGACACTGTCTGACTGGATTTTGTTTGGGATATTTTATTTAAATTATGATGTACAACACAAAATTAAAAAAAAAGTAGATTCATCAAAAAGGTTACTATAAAGGTTAAGCATCACTTTTACATTTATAAATCTAATCTGGAGGCGACTGTGGCTTAGAAGGTAGAGCGGGTCGTTTCCTAACTGGAGGATTAGTGGTTCGATTCCCGGCTTGTTGAAGTGTTCTTGAGCAAGACACTGAACCCCAGTGTGTGAATGTGTGAGCGTTTGTGAGTGTGAATGGCCAAATAGTGTGAAAAGCGCTTTGAGTGTGCTGTAAGTGTAGAAAAGCGCTATACAAGTATAAGACCATTACCAAGATTTATTGCAGGGTATTGACCTCATTTCAAGGTCAAGTGTTTATTGTCATCTGCACAGTGAGGAAACGTGTTTCCCTGTACAATGAAATTCTTACTTTGCCATCCACATGAATGCCACACAATACAAATGAAATATAACGCAGATACATAGGTAACACAAAATCTAAGGCACTGTAAAACAACCAATGAATGAAGCATAATGAAAAAAACAACAAGAACACAATATAATGAAGGGAGAACATATGCTACATGGGGGCTGTGTGATGAGTTTCCCTCTCCTTCCTCTTGTTCAAAATACAACAAGAGCACAATACAATGAAGAGAATGTATGCTACATGGGAGCTATGTGTGCAAATGGTCAGCAGTGCGTGCAATTATGCATGTGCGCACTGAGTGTGTAAACAGTACGGGTGGAATTATGAGTTTGTTCCTGAGTCAGCTGTTTAGAAGTCTGATGGCAGTCAGAAAGAAAGCGTTTTTCAGTCTAGTGGTCCTGCATTTCACACTTCTGAACCTCTGGCCAGAGGGTAGGGGTGTGAACAGTCCATGCTCGGGGTGGGTGGGGTCCTTGAGGATGGAGGCAGCTTTCCTATGCACCCTGCGGTGGTAAATGCTCTGCAGAGAGGGCAGTGGAGTCCTAGTGATCTTCTCCAGTCTTTACCACTCTCTGCAGGCGCTTGCAGTCCATAGCAATAGTGCTGCCATACCAGATGGTGATGCAGCTAGTCAAGATGCTCTCAATGATGCAGCTGTAGAAGGATCCTAGGCAACATGCCAAACCTCCTCAGCCTCCTCAGGAAGTACAGCTGCTGTTTGGGCCTTCTTGACCAGCTGTGTGGTGTTAAGTGTCCAAGTGAGGTCATCACTGATGTGGACGCCCAGGTATTTGAAGCTGCTCTCCGTCTCCACTTCGAGCCCCCGAATGAACAGTGGCTGATGAGATCTCCTTTCCTTCCTCATGTCCACTATCATCTCCCTTATCTTGTCTGTGTTAAGGGTGAGATTATTGTCCTTGCACCATGACACCAGACCAGCCACCTTCCTCCTTTAGGCTGTTTTGTCCCCACCAGTGATGTGACCTATCACTGCGGTGTCGTCCGCGAACTTTAGGATGATGTTGTCTTTGTGGGAGGCAAACATCATCCTAGTGTGGTAACCTCGGTATCGTTTGTGTTTTAAAGGGATACTTTGCAAGTTTGGTTTCTTGATTGTTTCAAAAGATTGATGTCATTCTTTTCACCTGTACAGTAAATAAAACCTGTACAAGCTTATAAGGCTCCGTTTCCGGGCACACCTTTTTGAAATATTTCATATTCTGTGCTTAGCTTACTAAGTGCTAGATGTATGTGTGGGTATGTACTTGGTATGTAAGTCTGTGTGAAGCAGTGATACCCATGTGACACCTCCACCCTTTTCTTTGTCTCTATAAACTGTTTGGTTTTGATGCGGAGCTAGTTTTCTCTGAAAAATTCACAATAAAACTTGGTCTTTTTGTTGACATTTTCTCCTCTAGTGTAATGGTACTTTGAAGTGCAGTGAAGCCCTCAACATATGGGATCCAGTAATAGAGGCAGCAGGATTAAGCTACAACACCATGGCAATGTGGTGCAACATCAGCCTGCAGCCTGCTTTGGAGGCCTCTGTTGCAGCACAGACTGCCTTCTCAAACCTCAGCATGAGTGTAAGTAGATCTATGCTAAATTAAAGAGGAAATGTTGAAGAAACTAATGTAACAGAAGGATTTGCCATTCTGAATTTGTTTCTCAGACCAGAGTAAAATATTAAAATGTGTGCAAATAATTTAGTACTTATGCAATTGAAATTCAGAGGATCACCACTTGGTGGCAGTGTTGACACACAGAAAACACTGCCAGTTCTACCACTTGCTAACAGTGCATCTGCTCAATACTGTCTTTACAGGATATGGGTGAGGAACCAATGACTGAGAGTGCCACAGCTGCCAGGATTGTCAAGACTGTACAGTCTCTCTACCAAGTCTGGGTTAATGAAACACTTGTGACAGAGCAGCTTATCATGGCTTTCTCCAATGAGTTCTCTGAGTTGTTTGGCCATCGTCTCAGCCCTGAGGTACAGCTTTACTGGCAGAGGAAGCTCCAGGAGATGCACATGCAAACCAGGTGACAATTGCTCACACGATGTTCAAAAGCTGCATGATGAGAGCCCTGTTATAGCATACTTTGGTTCCTGTTTTTTCACCAACAGAGGCCTCACTAGATCATGTGCTGCAGCTATAGAATAGGAGGACAGTACAACACAATCATATGAAAATATAGTGCAGCTACAAAACAAAGATTAGTGTGATCATATTTATCAGTATGTTACTTAACTGTGGAAATGTCTTTTACATTTCCATTAAATTCTGTCTAGAGCCAGCTGTGTTTATACACAGACCCACAAAAAATAGGCCTTTCATTGTTCCATTTGTTGTTACATTATCCACAATGCACCAGTCAAACCAGTCTGATTCATAATTACACAAGGAAGTGGAGTGATCAAATTTGATTTTAACTCTGTTAATTTAATGTGTGAAAACAGTCAGGCCTGTGCAGACAGCCATGATTCAGCTAGCCGAGTTATCTTAAAATTGATTTCCCTTTATATGCCAGCTACAATAATGAGGCTGCCTTGATGATAAGAATCACATTCTGCATATTAGAGGGAATCAATCAGGTCTGACCACTGCACATGAGTTATAGATCACTGATCACAGTGGAAAGACTCTAAAGTCTATTATCAAGCATTGAATGGGAAAACTATGCAAATACTGTAAGTATAAAGCATGATGATGATGCAGTATTACATCTGTCCAAATCTAAAAAATGAGAGTTTTATGGAATTCTGTTGAGGAAATTAATAAAAATGGTGAGAATTAGGACTTTTCCCGAAATAGGGGGCAGCAGTAGGATGTGCAAAGACATATGAGATGAAAGAATCTTTTCCTATATCTTCTTCTCCTACCCAGTATGTACACTATTCCTAAATTGTGATGACATAAATATTAAATGTAGCCTACTGCACATGAATATTCTTTCAGTAGTATACTAATATGATTTACCAGCTTTTGTGCATGGAAGAAAGAAAGACTCCAGTCCTGTATATATTATATAGTGTACTGTAAATTACTCACAGCTGCATCCAGCATGCAAAATGTATGGGGGTTTTAGAGGTTGTTTGCATGTAATTTTAAAAATGTTTAAATGTTTTTAAAATAATGCAATAACAGTATTATAATCACTACGTACCAAAAGTGATCCAGAAACTAAGAACACGTTCACACTGCAGGGTGAAGTGACTCAAATCCGATCTTTTTGCCCAAATGCGACCCATATCCGATTTCCTTATGACAGTGTGAACAGCACAAATCCAATTTTTTTCAAATCCGACCCAGGCCACTTTCATATGTGGTCCTAAATCGGATACATATCCGATGTTTTGCAATGTGACTTCAGTCTGAAAGGCCAGGTCGCATTTCATGCGATTTTTTTGTCATTGAAATGCAACAGACGTCACAATTCTGCGCTGGGCTGGAGGAGGCGAGGCCATAAGCAATATTTGTGCTCTCCTTCTTCTTGATATTCTTCTTATTATTATTTCTTTATTTCGATTGCACATTAACTGGTACATCGCTACGCACATGCTATCACGAGTCACATCCATTTTTATTTTCGCAAACACAGTACGCTGCGTCTGATGTCACGTCCTCTTCTGCGCATGCGGGTCACTTCAGGGCTGTATACCGTTCACACATGAGACAGATGGCAGTTGCATTTAAATGACATTGTGAACAACAGCGCAAAAAAATCGGATTTCGGCAAAAAATCCGATCTGAGCATTAAGACCTGCAGTGTGAACGTAGTCTAACTGTGGGCCACAGAAGCATGCAACCTATTAATCTCCCTTTACAGCTGTGTTTGTTGGGATCAAACCATCATACCATCATAAAATGCAGAAATACACACAACATACATCGCCATGCACCGTGGTAGTAATGAAGATATATCTAGCAGGGAAATAGAGGTCTTAGGATGGAGACACACTAAGCTGACAGTTGGCTGTTGGCCATTGTTGGGTCATTGGCATTGTCGGGGCTCTACTTCCTGGTGTGTCACGCACCTTTGGTAATAGTCATCCTCCTTCAATGGCTTTTCAACCGATTCAACATCTGGTCAGGCCTCGACAGTGAGAGAGAGACTGCTCTAATTGGCTGAGAACAGTTTGGGAAAGCCCCTTCAGCCTGTCATTGTAGTATCCATGATTTCATCCATTTAGTGTGGTTTCTCCTTGCTTTTCGGCTCAACAACCTCCAAGGGCAGTGTCATTTCCAATTTTTTAACAGACTTCTTCTTGATTAGCTGTTTTGAACAATGGGTGCTGCAGTCTAGCTCTTCTCTACCTTTCTGAATGGCGACACCGCCACCTCCCGGTAGGGGCAGTTATTTCTGTCATGCAGATGCGGAAAGTATGTGCTAGTCGCCGGTTAGCTGTAGTCTGTATGTTCAAGTGCCACTTTTAAACCCGACTCACCCAGATAAAACCGACATGAGGCAGCACAAAGCTAGGCCTTCGTCGCTGCTAGGTTTTTCATATCAGCTTTGTGTGTCTCTGGCCTTTGTCTTTAGTCTGTTGTCCACATAAATGCTTTAGTTCCAACAAACATCTCTGTTTTTTGTAAATCATTTTTAATTATTTACTTACTTACTTGTTTTCCCTTTACAGCGTGTCTTCCATGAGAATGCTCTCAGGTGAACTGCGAAGCAAGATCCCATCCCTCCAACCCTACACTGACGCTGGGGAGAAAGCACTGGACTACATCCTGAACAACTACAATCTCATTAAAAACGGCAGCTCATCTGAAGACTTCTTCAGAAAAGCAGCAATGATCTTTCTAACGTCAGTGAACATCAGCCCAGACATCTTCTCTGAAATGTGGGGAAATTGGTCTGGAGTCAGTGAGTCATCTTATATTGAGATGATGAGGGGCATTATCAAACTGATGGGTGACCTCCATATACTTAGGGACGCACCTACAGTTTACCAAGCGATGGAGAAATTCCTGGAATCTAATGATACAAGCTTGATTATGCAGAAAGTGGTTGAGATGTCTTCATGGTGGAACTCCACTGAAGCATCTAGACTAGATCTGGTGACTCAGGCTCTGCCCAAAATATGTGACACCATCATGCCTCTCTTGCCTCTCCTGAACCAGATGGGTATGGACATTCCAGCAAACATGAAGCTGTGTGATGACCTAGCTGGAAACATGGCTGTAATGTTGAGGCAGCTGGTGAACACTAGTGGTCTTCTGCCCCCTATGGCCTATGAACCGACAGGTGGCAACCATATGGTGTGGTTCCAACAAAGACACAAGGGCCCATGGATGCCAATGAGAAGCCCCATGGATGATTTCATAGACTTGTTCTACATCGATTACTCTGATATGTTCAAAGCCATATCTGTCCCTCCTACCACAGAAGAAATTATGGAGACAGCTCACATGTTCTTTGACAATCCTGATCTGAGCGTTGTGTTGAAGGGAGCTACAGGTGACATGCAGTGGGGCTTCAATGACCTTCAGGAAGACACCATTGATGCCGGCCTTGGAATGCTCGCCTTCCTCACTCTCCCCATCACATTTCAGATGTAAATATTGTTTTGTGTAAACTCTGTATCTAGCTTGACATCTAAATTTGCCCTGGCTTCTGGAAATAACTTCTTTTAATCTTGCCTTTTGCCTTGATTTTCACTATTATGTTGTCCCCTATTTTATAAACTGTCCTTGTTTAATCTCATCCAGGTCACCAATGGATATCCTGACAAATGCCACTGATATTCTTCCTGATGACTATTCATTCTCCTCACTGCTTAAAAATATCACCATTGCAATGGCCACTGAATCTCAAGGTAACTTTACAGTTCAGACCTACCATCTCTCTGACTCAGTCTGGACATTTTGAGGCCTCTTGGGCCAACAGCAGCTATATTATGAGATTATATTAGTTAAATAGAGAGTCCCCAAATGAAAGATGCTTTATCCTCATAGTTTCTTCAAATTAACCCTACCTATTAAGTCCACAGTGAATTCTCTCCCGCTCATCCTTAGTCTAACTGTAGCTTTACTGTAGAACTCACAGTGATGCTGCAGCTTGTTTTTACATACAGTACCTGCTGTGACAGTGTATGTGTATAAACACAATCTGCTGGCCTGTGCCATTAAGCAGTCACACAGCTTGGAGGAGTGCCTCCTATTTCTCTGACCTTCAGAGCTATTTCAAAACCATGGGAAGACTATAAAATGATTTGTTAATGCTGTTGTTATTGTATGCATGATTATAGTATAGCATAATTTATTCTGCAGATAAGAGGAATAAGACTTTAGCTCACAAAGAGCCCAAGGCCATATGGCACTTCTCCAACAAAAAAACACTCAGCACCTTTTTAAATCTCATTAGCAAAGTAGAATTCAATCATTTTTCCTGTCCACCCTCGCTAAACGTCTCCCCTTGCACTCACACAAGTGGACGTCTATGACTTCTTTTTAATTGGCATCTGTGCTTGTGTGATAATGTTTTTAGTGCATAGAATCACTTTGTAAGCAGCAGTTGCTTCACTTCTCCACAACATTGTTCAAACAGAGTGAACTGTGTTGTAATTGCAAAGGCCTCTAGGTGTTGAGCACCCTGAGATTAAACACCATCATTGTCTAATTTTGGCCTAATTAAATATTCTGTCATCACATCTTGCGGCCTCAGGTGGTACCTTTTCTTATGGCTTATCAGATATGTTTTAATGCACGACAGCATCTAGTACTGTTGGCCCTTCTGGCCCCATCAGTCCTGCACAGGGTTTCACTTGAAGCACATCATTTGCTGCTCGCTGCCCTAAAATGGGGCGAGTTGTAATGAAGCCCAGTGGGATGTCATGTTATTCTGTCACCTTGCAGACCTCATTGCCCTCTTTTCTCTTTCCTGCCCCATCTTCCTGTCAAACTCTAGTAACCTCTGTCTCTCCTTTGCACATTCCCTCCCTTCACAGAGCTCCTGAATCTCAAGCAGCACATCATCCAAACAGCCAATGAGATCTTTCAGACCAACTTGACAGACCCACGATTCACAGAGGAATTTGATCATCTGAGATCCCAGGTCTCTGCATTAACCCTGTTACCCCAACTTTGTACTGTATAGTCAAGTGGAACAAAATATAGCCACAACATCTGCATGAATAGTTAACAAAACCATTACCACTGATTGGAGTTTGGTTACAGTTCAAGCAAAGTGTTTTCATTTAGTTTAATAATTCTACTAATGATTTTTTTTAAATGCCAAAAGCTGTAATTTGGTGCCAGTGCCAAAAAAGCTGTAAATCATAAATTGCGAGTTTTCAGTGTTCAGGCTTTAATCATAACTCTGAGGTCCTAAAATAAACAGACAAGTAAAATATACACAGGCTCAGTGGTTGCCTGTGTATGACTAACCAACCAATATTTGTTGCATAAGTTTGATCCAGAAACTCCTCTTGATGCTTATGTAACTGATTTGTCGTAGGTGTGTGCCTTGGAGAATACGGAGTCTGCACATCTGCTGATGTCACTCTTCTCCATAGAGCCTGGTCAGCTGTGTAACACTTTCCTTCCCAGCCTGCAGTTCCTAATTGAGAACCGGCTGATGAACATGACGTCTCTGTCCGATGCCATCTTTGATGCCTTCATCGGAGACCCTATCACCTACACTGTCCAGGCAACCTGGTATGCCACTGTCTTCATCCTTCTTTCTTTCTTTTTTTCTTTCAGAGGCTGTCACAGCACTGCACAAGAGAAAGCTGCTGTCACCTTTGTGTAGACCTTTAAAGTACAAGAGAGTGGCCTGGGCTGTTTCTCTTTACAAATCTCACTACACAGGGGATTTTGAAGCTATTGTAATTTGCAAAATTAGTCACACATAGTCATCGCTTGCTGTCATTTGGGACCAATAGGAAAACTTTCATTGTGTTGATTTAAGTGATTGTGCACCTTAGCCCATTTAGCCTGAAGGTACCTGGAAGCATTTTATTATAAAGGCAAAAATTCCTTTTAAGAAAAATTTTTTATATTCGTTGATTAAACTGCATTTATCTGTTTGTGATTGTGTCTTGTGTTTCTATTGTGTGTACGATTTCATGCATGTGCATATATTATTACAGGAGCTCTGTCTTGGCTCAGAGTTTGAAGTTTAACACCAGCAGCCTGAAAGACCTCAACGTTAACATGACATCTCCAGGTAAGGCATTTCTCTACTTCACAACAGTTACTGGCCTCTATTTTTCTGCCAGCACACTTTCTGTGTTGCCTCATTAGCAGACATTATGGAGTTTTCCTCCGGTGCATGCTGCTTTTTTTGCACATTGGTGTTTTTGGTATTTTCCTGCCATGAATGCATGTGCTTTCAATAAGGTGAGAGTAGACACAGTTGATGCCGTGTGTCTGCTAATAAGGCAGTGCAGTGCAACTTTGGTGCTTGTTTTGACCTGGAATAGTGATAAGGATAACACCTGTTCAGGCCACCTCTTATCACAATCACAGGTGCGTTTGCAATTTTCCTGACAGGTGCATAGGCTGGAAAGTATGAGATCAAGTACCCAAATGTATTTTAAGATCCACACCAACTTAAAATTAACCCTTAAATCCACAACTGCTCAAATTCACTCTGAATAATGTATTGTGTGTTATGAAGATTATGTTAAAATAAATTAAATAATCTAGTCCTCAGTATGTGGTTATAAATATGAATATAGTCAAACAGTGTTGGTGTGTGTCAGGACACACCAGGATTGTAGCCAGAGGTGATCTGCAGTCTGTGTTTGGGAATCCAAACAGTGATCAGATCAGTGATTCTCAAGGACCGGCTGGAGCGCACCTCCCAAGCAGTGTTGGTTATTGTGTGGAAAGTTGGTATGGGAGGGGGTTGACAAGAGAGAGGCTGCTGAACTGAATGAGCTGCGGAGGTGCTGCTCAAAGTCAATGTGCACGCTGCGCTCACTCCAAGCTGTGCAGGGGTCACGTTATAATGAGAAAATACAATATGTAGTTACAATGACAAAGTAGCCTACAGTATGTCCTTATAAGAAGAAAATCCACTATGTCGTAATAATGTGAAAAATGTTTTAATGTGAAAGTATCATAAAAACAAGCAAAGTGTCTTGTTATAATGAGAAAGGTTTCTCATTAAAACAAGATTTACGCTGCCATATGCAGTTCTTGTGCATACTAGGAAGTATAATCCTGCAGGTGCCACTGCTTCAAGCAAACAGGTTTCACACAGACATACCTTCATTACTATTGCAAATGATATATGCTGTGTCTGGTTTTGCATTTCATGATGGTTTGATCAGCTTTGAAACCAGCTGTAGGTGGAGATAAAATGGGTGACACATCCACATTCACTATAAACGAAGTGGTTATGAGATTGTATTATTTTAAAAACAATGAAATGTTTAGAAGGTTACATGCAAGACCTCGTGGATTTCACACATTTGGTGCAGCTGTGACTACATTACATATAACTGCTGCTGGATACAGGACCAGAGACTTTCTTCTTCTATGCACAAATGCTGATCAGTGATATTTTCAGACTGCTGAGTGGATATTTTATGTAATATTCACGTCAAACTGTTTATTTGTCATATGCACAGTTAGGAAACGTGTTTCCTTGTACAATGAAATTCTTACTTGGCCATACACATGAATGCCACATAATACAAATGAAATGTAAAGCAGATAAATAAGTAACACAAAATCTAAGGCACTTTAAGCAGCAAATACAGCAGTATAATAAAAATATATAACAATATAATAAGAGAATGTATGCTGGATGGGAGCAGCATGTGCAGCAGTCAACAGTCAATGTGCAATTATGCATGTGCAAACTGAGAATGTAAACAGTACAGGTCGACAGTACATGACGTATTTCCTGGTAATAAACTCCTCAGCTGTTTAGGAGTCTGATGGCAGACGGAAAGAAAGTTTTTCAGTCTGGAGGTCCTACATTTCACACTTCTGAACCTCCGGCCAGAGGGTAGGGTGGCGAACAGTCCGTGCTGGGGGTGGGTGGGGTCCTTGAGGATGGAGGCAGCTTTCCTATGCACCCTGCGGTGGTAAAT